TGTGGTCAGCTACGCCCTAAGGTGTTCTGGTTGACACGGGCAGTGTACACTAATGCTAAATTCTGATGAATATAAAAAACAAACTCCGTGACCTTTAGTCCGCAAGCGAACTATACCGACCGAGCGACCGCCACTTGTCGGCGAAGTTAGTGCCAGATCTGGATGAATAGCAAATTAATTTCAAATTAAAATGTCTGTATTCATAAATTCGTCATGGAAAGCTGCATTGAGAAAACTGTGCACATTTTGTTTCCCTCCCTTTCCCCTGCACATCACCACACCGACGACTTCACACCTGAGTGATCAAGATACTACCCGAGATAACATGCACTCCATCCTGCAGGGGTGTTCAGATAACAAAACTACCCTTTAAGCCATTCTTACTTCTCCATAAAATGCACTACTACAATTAAAGAAAATAAAATGAAATCAAATTCCAGACTTTTATGGAAATATAAGTTCTGTGAAACCTATTCCACGAGTAGACTACTTATTATTATCATTTCTTTACTAAATCCGCTAAACAGAGTTTTTCTTGAGAAGCTTATACGAGTAGTTGGTCTTCTGGTCAACATATTTATACTTCTACGGAATCCAAACGTTTATCTCCCGTCACTGGGCCCTATCTTGAAACGGTTGGATATCGACCACGCCAAAAAACCGAATAACCCATTTTTAATGCTGTCGAATTTTACTATGATCATTTTTGGAATATTATTGGTTCGAAGCCAAGTATGCATCTGTGTCTGTCTGTTTGATCATCATATACTCTACACAGTGATTCACTCGGAGGAGGCCCCGAAATAATAATTATAATTCACACAATAATTTACCAATGAAAATGAGACATGGCGAGTACATACCTTGGCATACGTCGAAATAATTGGGTTCTGAAAATTTTTCTCTCTACCTGGAGAAACAGACCTAAAGTTTCTCCAAGTTCGCGAATGTTGCAGCCAGTATGGCAAGAGGGATTGCAGCAATTTCACCGTGTCTCCAAAATATGATCGGAAAGCATCATCCCTCACTTTATCGCCTGACACATGAAACGTGTAAAGAACAGTGTGATACACAGCACATGACAATAGAAACAGCAGCAGGAACACGGGTGAAGGAACCGCAGAGGTAGGAATTTCGTAGAACAACTCAAAATTTGCAGACAAACAGCTAAAAGCTTAGAAGAATAAGGAGAAAGCAACCAAGTAGCTAACTCTTTCCGAGCATGCTGACAAACCTTTTACAAAATTCGGATCAAACGCCATGGATGCATTTTCAAGAGGTGTTATTACATGCGATACTGTCTGTAACAAGTGGACCCTCACCTCCACAGTAGCCACCAATTCCAGCAAATTCTTACCATCCACTCTCTACTGCATTTATTCTTTCCGTAGCAATACTACGTGCTTATACTGAAGAAGCCAGCAAAAAGTTCTATGATGAAACGTGTGTGAGCACAGGCCAATTACCAGGTTCAACAATACGAACCACTCTTCCTCGAAACGGTAATTTAATAAAAGTAAGGAAGGTGCCTCGGGTGATAACGCTTCTGTCTTGTATTGGGGAGATGCTCGGTTCAAATCTCGGTCGGTACACTGTCCTCCTGCCTGACAGTACTGAAAAGATCAGACCCTATATCAAATATTGCCCTGACTTTGGGAAGTTTTAAAACCAAGGATACTGTAGCATGTGGATCTGTTGCTGGGCAACGTCAGCGAGATAAGCAAATACACAAGAGCAATTACTTCACAAACAAACACGTTCCCACGGCAACAGTTGAACTACAGCAGTAAGAGGTGGTATTTTCCATGCGGTCCGTGCTGAGATGTTATAATCAAGATAGTTAATTGAGTCAATCAGTGAAGAGAAGAGTAGAAGGTTGGGGTGAGAGGGCTGCCAGCCTGGGAGTTAAGACAGTTGTGGGATTTTCGCCAGCCGGTAAGAACGTAAGCAGAGGACATTGTTAGGATCCGTTACCAGGAAGAGACTAATGAAGAAACAGGAGACTTCACGTGGCTGCAGTTACAGTGATATTTGGAGTGTGTAGATCAGTAAGCCTGTTACAGTTTCATGTACTTAAGAGCTGTGTGTATAAGTGTTCAATAAATCCAATTACCAATCCAACCCCGTCTCTACTCACTTATACACGTGACAATATTAAATTGTCATAAACTAATCGCCTTATTTGTATCTGTCCAATGAATACATCGTTCAACTTCTGTAACAGAAAGTGCCTGTCCATTCGAATAGGCAGATGTGACACTGCACTAAATGAGGCAGCAGCTGATGATGAGGATGATAAACGCTCACGGTTTCGAATTTTGGCCATATAAGGCGCTGCTTACGCGTGTTAATGACGATAATTTTCCTTGGTGCCCTATTCTCTCAGTTTCATTGTTGTAGCACGAGGTTTGAACTTGGAAATAAGTCTAACAAACCCCAAATAGAAATAATGGCGAAGTTATGTGAGACCTCTGGTTTTCACGGTGGTCAACACTGCTATGGGCCTAGAATCTTCGGGGTACTGCATCACGTCGAATTGGTGAATGCTGCCGACATTTCGGGGGGAATTTCAGGGTCGAATTGGACTGGATTGGCCGCATGTTAATATTCTTAACGTCATATCTGGTAAACGTCCGACACAGAAGCTGGTATTTTCAGTGAAAAGAAAATGTTAATACGAGTAAATAGCCCCTGCAGGTACGCAGAATTTCATGTCACTGAATTCGAACGACACCCTGTCTATAATTCTCCTTCACTCCTTGCACTCGTAGGCTGCAACGCGACACTGAGGTCTAGCATGTCTGCATTGGCGAAAACAACGTGAAGTTGTGTCGACGATAGAAACGAGTTAAATTTTGACCTACGATTGTATGTAGCAAAATACCAACCTACTGGAACAAGGAGTAAGCCGGGATAGCGTAGTCGGTATAGCGACCGGCTATTGGGGTCGGAGTTCGAGTCCCGGTAGAATCAAGAATTTTCTCTTCTTCATGTCGTCTAGACCGGCTCTGGGGCCCGCCCACTCTGCCTCCTGGCCCATACCGGGGGCTCTTTCCTTGGTGGTAAAACGGTAGGAGCGTGAAGCTAACAACTCATCTCCAACTAGTGCCGAGGTCAAGAAAATGTGGATCTATACATCCACTCCCTCATTACAGACGTCAGTATCAAAGACATGGTAATTACAGCGTCCGGACGTCCTGCGGCGTATGGAATCTTGAAACACGCTAAAAATGGTTTAGTGGTTCGAATCTTACCGGGTGCTCAACGCTGGGGATATCTGCATTATGCTGCAGTGTTACAAGCAAAGGCCCTGAGATGGAGGAATTGTCACTCGAATGAGACCTGCTGAATTTCCAAAGCACTGTTTCAAAATGAATTACGGGTCCGAGCAGGCCTGAGTGCCCGGAGAAAGTTGGAAAATGGGCGTACTAAGGATGTTATTCACTGAAAGTTCTGAGAGGTGGAAAGAATATCATACAGTAGAAAACGTATCTTTGTGTTTCTCTTCAACGTTATGCTGCCAACATTACGTACATGGTTGCGGTGTGAAATTCTGAGGTGGGAGAAACAATGGCACCATTCAATGCAGGGACCTAAGTTTCGTATGGTGACATAGGTAAAAAAGGAAAATTTATCCCTGTATTTAACTAATTAAGCACTACGCCATGGAGGCGTAGGGGAGAGTGGATATATAGATCCACATTTTCTTGACCTCGGCACTAGCTGGAGGTGAGTGGTCAGCTTCACGCCCCTGCCGTTTTACCCCTAGGGAAAGACTCCCGGTACCTATTGGACAGAAAGTTGCGAGAACCCCAGAGCCGGTCTGGACGACGCAGAGAAAATTCTTCGCCCTACCGGAATTCGAACTCCGGCCCCTCGGCCGTCCAGCCAGTAGCCAGTCGCTATACCGACTACGCTATCCCGTAAGGTGACATACTCGTACTTTGGGAAATAGGCGCACCTCTATATATTCTTGGAAGATGTAAAATTATATGGCGACTGAGCGAAATATTTTGATACCAAGGCGATGACTGGTGTAGGCGTACTGTAAGCTGGAGGTTTAGATGTTTATTTAAAAGAGTATGAAGCTTCTCTCATAAATTTGGCTCTTCTTCTCAACAGAAAGATTCGGAAATTTCATACATGACATGGGCACCATTTTGCTACGATACCAGATTACTGCACACCCCGCCAGCTGCCGTTTAGGCCCTCAAGTCTGATAAATACATAATTTCACACTGTGGTCTGCTGGGTTATGGCACCGTACAGTCTGGTAGGTTGGTATCAACTAGTCGGGGGAAAATACTGCCTCCGTGTTCTACCCTGAAAATGGAGGCAATATTGGAACCCACGTGTCAGACTACACGGTGTCATAACCCAGAAGACCACAACAGCTCCTGTATCAGGATGATGAAGGCAAACTCTACACAGCAATTTCGGCACTAGATGGAGATGATCCATATAGATCCACGCTCAAGCCGCTTTACCATCGCTACCAACTGGCTAGGAAACTGAGCACGTCTAGCTCCCAGCGCCCAGTCAGGACGTGGCGGTGAAGGGAAAAATTGTGGCTGTTGCCGGGAATCGAACCACAGTCTACCAGCTGGTAACCAGACGTTTCCTTGTCTGAGTTAGTCCAACTCACTGTGATAATTATTATTAACTTTCACTCGGTCTCTGGAAGCATGCCCATCAGGCGAGACATGTCATTCCATTTATTCTATCACCCTGTCATTTCATGAGTCGTTGGAAGTGAGGGGGGGGGTTGGCAGCAACTGCCTCTGCCTTCAATACCGGAATGTCAAGGGGCGTCCAATCTGTAACTGCTGCGTCTCAGAAACTCGACAACCGCGGATGTTTTCATCTATTTTCGCGATGGAACTTGATATTGCCGTTCATTAAGACAAGAATGGTAACAAAGATGAAAGCCCTGTCCCTGTGCTGACGGATGCGTTAACATTAGCCCCACATTTCCCGAAATCAAGATTAGGCCTACTCACCACCGTTGGGGTCGTAGTTGGACTGCGGAGCGATGCACATGTCGTTATCCGGTGCGAACTTGGTGCAATTGAACATTTCCGGCCAGGGGTATCCATACATCTTCATGCGACCCTCACAGCCTTGCTTCACTTTCTCGCAGAGGCTGCGACACGGATAAATGGGCCGATCCAGACAAACAGGACTGAAGAGCGAGCACAGAAACAGCTGAATGTCAGGGTGGCAGCGGATGTTGTTAAGGGCCACCCACGAGCTTGCCTGATGGGAGACTTCAGCCATCGTGTCATGGTCCAGCAGATTGGGAAGGCGCATCTTGTTGTAGCCTATCCCGTGGCACAAACTCATGTTGCGGGGTATGTCCACACAGGTGGGCTGCGTTGGGCGACTCCCGGACAACCCCCACGTCTCAAAGTAGCCCCGGGCCCCTGACAGCACCAGGGCGACAAGTAACACGCTGGCTGGAGCCATCGTCCTCCTACGATGGCCGTTTCGCATACAACTGCTCTGGTGTAGTGCCTGCCTGCCTGCTAGGAGTGGATTGCCTTGAGTTTGGGTCTACTTACGACCCCACCAGCGAGCCCGTGGTCTCGCCACATACACATCCCACCATCCTCCACACCGACGAAACCAACTCTGACTGAGGGACCACAATGATTATCAGACTGTTACTCACTCAATTAGCAGCAGACAGCCTCCGCAACCCCGCCACGAGCCCACGTGACTTGGAAGGAACCAATCGCGATCGTGGGTTGTCCACGTGGGGCCGCACACCGCCCATGCGCCACCCATTATAATATCCCTGCTACTTAATTTCCACGTGAAATTCCCTGGCGGACTATTTAGCTATCACCCACTCGACATGACAAATGTTCTTTCGTTTAGCGGGATACAGTCCACTAAAAAACACTGTGTCCTCAAACTCGCGGTCATGTCACAGCTTCCTCCGTCTCTCCACCACAAAGTATGGTGAGAGGGATATTGCACCCGTGCTAACGCCACAGCGTGAAGTTCTGGAAGCACACGTAAAGCTTCTCATTGCTAGGTACAAAACAATTATTCACTGTGGAAATGACTGAGAGGCCAGTGATGACAATCTTTGACTCGCATTCAATCAGTTGTAACCCGAAGCAGCTGTTTCTTTTGTCCAGCTCTAGACAGCAGCACAGACAAATAAGAAAAAATTAAAAGGTGTTTCTTTACCTCTATTCATTGCTTGGGGACACACGGTAGCGTAGTTGGTTGAGGTACTACGCTACAAGCCGGAAGGTCGCGGGATCGAATCCCGATGCGGTAGATTTTTTCAATTTATCTAATCCTTCCAGCCGCACTATTGCCTTGGGGTCGACTCAGCCTCTAACAGAAATGAGTACTAGGAAAATTCTTGTGGGTAATGGGCGGCCGGCGAGTAAGGCTGACAACCTTACCGCCATCTGTGAGCCGATTATCTAGAAAATGTGGGAACCTCAACATCTCACAACCCTATGGGCCTCCACGGCCTGTTACAGGGATGCTTTTACTTTTTACTCTACTATCCATTACTTAAGCTTAGTGGTGGTGTGGATATTAAACTCCAAGTTTCTTCAAACTCACTTTCAACGATCTCCATGCTCCTGGACAGTTTAGTCAGAAGGAGCAGGGGTCGATTTCCAGCAAGGACAATGATTCTTATCTTTGCCAACACGTCCAAACCGGTTCTGGGCCTACCTGGCCTCATATTCTACAACTGTTTTGGACGTTTTACTTTAGGGTTATGCAACCGGAGCGTGTTGCTGTACGATTATTTTCATCTAGTGTCGAAGTTACGAATTTATGGAGCTATACGCCACTTTCAGTCCTCATAACATAATACATAGACACAGATGCAGATTTGGGGAAACAGAAATCGTGTTACAAGGAAAGTGACTGCTTTATTCTTGGAGGGTGGTAAAAGAGAAAAGATGGTGTCCGTCAGGAGAATGAGACGGAGGCCCGAACACATTAGGCATGGGACATGAGTCTAAAAATATGTACTGTCATTAATGTGTGTTTATTTCGTAAAATTAATATCGAAAATATTCGATAGCTTTCAGTTAATGGACCAATATCCTGTAACAATAATATTTACACGGCCTACAGTCTATACTGTTACACTTTTGCCTACAGAGCGTAAAGTATGCTTCTATTTATCTACTTACTTACTCGTGGAGCCGAGCCCTTCCTGAGGAGCCGCCAATTCTGTAGCTACTCAAGAATTTCCCAGCATTTTATGAAATCCGAGGGTTCATTACCGTGTTCACAAGAGCCCTCCACTGTTCTCTATCCTCAGCCAAATCAATCAAATCCATACCATCCCATTCTATCTAAGATCCATTTTAATATTTTCCAACCACCTATGCCTTGGTCTTCCAAGTGGTCTCTTTCTTTCTGGCTTTCCCACCATTTCCTGTACTCCCCCATTCGTGCTACATGCCCTGCCCACCTCATCCTCATTGACTTGATCATTCTAATTATACTTGGAGGAGAGTACAAGTTAAAGTATGCTTCTGTGCAACATCTATCTATCTATGGCTCTACAGCCCTTGTGGAGCTTGGTCGCTCTTTCAGTTTCTTAATCTATACACAGCCGGTATGAATCCTTTGACGGGGGATCAGCCTGTCAGAAGGTCGCTACCTACACACAGAACAACACCAACACACAGTACGAGCGCACAGACATCCATGCCTTGAGTGGGATTCGAACCCATGATCCCAGTGTTCGAGGGAGCGAAGACAGTTCATGCCTTAGACCGCGACTTCACGGTGATCGGCGCTTCTAAACGTCATAGGGCCTTTAACTCACTGCAGTTATTTACTCCCTTATTGTATTGTGGTGATAATGAAGAGCTCACAATAAATAGCATAAAGAATTGGTACAGAAAGAGTTCTAGATGAAACTTAAAATGGGCGTATCAACATTCCATAAAATAGGAATCTGTGACAAAATGTTTAATGTAACAATAACCAATAAATAATTTGAATAATTGCAAAATTGAAATCCACCAGTGCAATAGTAAGAAGTATGAACCTGGTTTGTCATGAGACTGATGGAATGAATTTCATAAATTACTTTTATCATTAAACTCGAAGAGTTTATGTCAGATCTACATTTCAAGGAATATAAATAAACAGACAATGTTACCATCAACTCTGTCTTCTAAGCTGAGGGAAGGACTTATTACAATGGAAACAGAACGAGAAGTAAAACATTTCGACAAAATCCAGACGATTTAATCAGGACTGGAAGATGTGACGGTCTATGAGGAGACATTTCATTATTGTACATTCACGTATCAGTAGGTCTCTGTATTTAATTAAATTAGTCACATCACGAATGCTGAGATTGGCTCCGATGGAAGTAGTTAGTTAGTTAGTTATTGGTGAGGGTGGGTTTCCCCATGCACTGAGACCTGTATTGGTCCATTGTGCTTCCCTCTATGATTTCTACCAGTCTCTATATCCTACCGGTACTGGTGCTTACCATCAGTCCCGCCCAGCCAGCGAGACCGGCTCTACTGGATGAGAAGTGTCTATAATGCTTCCCCCATCTACCAGAGGTATTAGAGACTGTTGTTGGGCGGGAAACGTCCGTTAATTTGGCTCAGTGACCTCCTTTGGAGATATGAGGTTCTTTTACGTGCCGTAAAGCTACGACACGGGACCCACGGCTTAAAGTCCCTCCCGGAGGACTTATTCCCTGAATTTTTCCGCCCTTAAAAATTCGAGGACCTCCGCCGGGTATTTGAACCCGCGTACTACGAGTCATGAGTGGGAACGTTATCTCTAGACTACGGAGGCCACTTCCGATGGAAGTTAAGTCTTTCGTGTGGCATTTAACGATGTTCTTTCTACTGCGGAGTTTCGGCCTATAAGCATATAGCGCCGAGCGAATTAGAAAATGGTCCTGAAGAAGGCGATAGCAGCCAATATAAATGTAGTATCCTGAGACTGAAGAAAAATACAAAAACACTTAGGCTGTATAGACAGTAACTCAGTCACGATTTGAAACGGGTGTCTAGAGAAGGCTCGAATGGAAGAAGCAGGGGGGATGTGCCTCCACAATACATGTGTACAGCCTTAACGCAACACTAACATGGATGGTTTGTCTTTGTTCTCCTGTGTTGTCTAGTGATGTTAATGATCTTGCAATGGACTAATCCACCATCCCAGAAGTCGTGCAGCGTGTCTAAAATACTCATTATCTCATAATTAATTCTTAGACTGAGCAGACTGAAGGGCCATAGTGGATGAAGAATAAATCAATACATGGAGCTGATGTGTCATCACGACTTCCTCTCACAGCTCTTCACACATCAAACGTACTTGTTCCCCCTTCCCCTTCTGAAGTCAATTTATAAACGCAACGTGGGTAGTGACGCTGTAGTCACTCTCGCATAAGAAGTCCTGAAGATGACGTGGGGTTTCTTCCGAGGTTCACGTGAAGGCGATACAGATCAATAACCTGCAAAGCAGTGACTTATGGACTTGTTCATACACAGTATCAACACTACTACGTTGTTTTTATGTCACAAGGATTACTAATAGGTTATTGCGTGGTGGATGCTATTTGTACAGCGCTTCATTAAATCTAGTTAAAGTCACTTGAACTAGGCACAAGGTAAAAAAACTCAATTTACTGGAAGTCGCTTTTCAGTGGTTAAACTACTGCTCCATATTCGATTTATTCTTGCTTTTAACGACACTCGCCTTTGTGATCTAGTCAGAGTTCCTGCCTACAGAGGTCCAGGGTTCGAGTCGAGGCGCTACCAGATTTTCTGAGAAGTAGTGGGTCTGGAACGGGTTATACGCAGCCTCGTGAGGATAACTGAGAAGCTACTTGAATGGAAAAGTAGCGGCTCCGATGTAGAAAACCGAGACTAACGGCCGTGGGGATCCGTTGCACTGGACCACGCGACATCCTCTATCCGCAAAAGTTGGCACTAACTTCACCAACAAGCGGCAGTCGCTCGGTCGGTAGTTTGCTTGCGGACTACAGGCCACGGAGTTTTTTCTCAACTGCAAAGTTTATGTAGTGTCGAATGCTGGGATGACTAGACGAACTAGAAAGGCTGTGAAAGATAACGTCTGCGGCCTGTTCAAGGCACCACCCCAACATCTGCCTGGAGGAAGCGTAGTCAGGATAACGACCCCCTGAGCCAAAATTCTAAGCCATGGCCTTCGGAATAGGAAATAGGCGTACGAAGCATCTGACCACGAAATTCAGTGCTTCGAATTCCGGGGGTTCCGGGGATATATTCTCCGAGACCGGCCATCCTGTTCTTCGTGGTTTTCCTCAGCTCCTCCAAGCAACCGATGGCATAATCTTATACTAATTCATGGCCATTTCCTTCCATATTCTTTCCAGTTCATCATTCACAATAATCCAAGCTCTCAATACCGCACGACTACACAGTCTGAGATGTAATCTCTATAATATGAAAGATCATACAAGAAGGTAAGACGTGAGGTTCTCTAAGCGGTGGTTATGAACAGTTCTGTCTTTTGTGATATAACGCTGTGTAACCTGCTTCACGCTGGTTTCTTGCTTGGCTTGTCCTTCGACTTGAAAGAGAAGGTGACATGTTCGTCTGGAACGGCGGTTGACTTTCAACAGACTAAAT